TGTTTAAAAATGTGTGTGTGTGTGTGTTTGAGAGAGCCAAGGCCATGATGAATCTTGCCTTCCCCTTCAGCAATACGAGAGGAGGACAGACAGAGACTGAGGGTGATCCACTCCTCCTCAATCTTTCTCTTTTTTCTGTCTCTTTCTCCCTTTCCTCCTACATTCTCTCGCTTTTTCTTCATAGTCCTCGTCAGTGGGGAGAAGAGCCAAAGAAAGGGAAAAGAAGAGAGAAGGAGAAGAGCAAGGGGGGACGGAGAGGAGAGGAGAAGGGAAGTAAAAGCGCAAGAGGAGACGGGCAGACAAGAGGAGAGAAGAAAAAGGAGGACAGAAGAGAGAAGAAGGGAGGGTAAAAAGGAAAGGAAAGAAAGGGGAAGAAAAAAATGGGGAGACAAAAAGCAAAGGATGAAGAAAAGAGGACCTCACAAATAAGGAAAGGAGATTAGATAGAAAAAAGAAGGAGGAGAATAAAGGAAGAACGAGGGAGGAGAAGGAGAAGAGGAGCGTAGAAGGGAGGAAAAAGGAGGACATGAGAAGGAAAGAGGAAAGGGAGAGAAGAGAAGATACAGGTGAAAAAAGGAAAAGAGAAAAAATAAGGAAAAAATAAAAAGACTAGCACCAAACAGAGAAGAAAAGAGGAGAGATGAAAGGAGATAAGAAGTTAGGAGAGGAAAAAAGAATGTAAAAAAAAACAAGTAGAGGAAAGGAAAGAAAATGGTATAAAAGGAAAAATTAAAGAGGGGAAAGGAGGAGAGGAGAAGAAAAAAATAAAAAAGATGAGAGAAGGTAAGAAGGGAGAGTAGAAAGGAGGAAAAGGGAAAAGAGCAGAGCAGCGGAGAGGTGAAGTGAGCAGAAGGAAAAGGAGAAAAGAAGGAAAGGATCTCAGTATATCAGTTTTATTACTGTGTGTTTGTACAGGAATGACTGCAGCTAATTAATGTCTAGGAAACACTATTACAAGCTCCTGCAGTTTTATGTTCTGCCTTGTTTCTCTCTCTGTCTCTCCGGCTCATCTCCAGCCTGCTCTTCCTCTCATCCACCGCCCGCCCTCTTCGTTCTTTCTACTCTTTTAGTGACAGGCAGTTGGGATTCACCCAGCCCTCAGTGATGGATGACAGGCAGACAGATGGAAAAGTAGCATTATAAAAAAAGATGAGACGACCAGGTAGACAGGCAGAAAGTCAAGGAGGTAGAGGGCAGAAGAGCAGTCGCTGTTGCCAAACTGTCAAGCAAATTTTACGCAAAATATAAAATGCAAATGAGTTGCATTTCCCTCAGCTTTCAGAGGCAAAAAACACATCAGCTAAAAAAAATGGAAAAACAGAGTCCTTCAAGAGCTGATTAGATTTGAGTAACTTGTTTGTCTTCTACAGAGTCAGTTAATGTCAGTTGTATTTCATGCGAAGACAAAAGAAATGCATTTGGCTGTATTATAACGGAGCAACTAATGAAGAGTTATATTCGAGAGTGACAGTATAAATGTCTGGCTGGTTTCGGTGGACAGAGACTGTTGTGCAATAAAGCCTGGAGCAGCCATGGAAACTCTGTCAGTAATCACTCAAAAAGTCCATTTTCTTTTTCCATTTATCACATGATTTATTTGTTGCTGGAGAGATTTTCCACATCGATTAACTTTAATATCTTTTCGGAGGACATGTGATTGAATTTTGCCATTTCCACTCAGCTTTCCAAATTTGATAAATCATAATTTGTAAATGAAAATATTGAGTGCATGCCCAACTCCAACAGAAGAGAATAATGCAGTAAATTTCCAGCAGAAAATCCCCTTTAGCATGCAATTAATTCATGTCATCGCCATCATCCACTGTATTCAGCCGCATGCATCCATTTCAGTGCATTGCTCATCGTGTTTGTTTCCATATTTTTCTTCTCCTGCAACAAAGTGAACACACCTAATTATTTGAAAGAAAACTGTGGTGACATTAGCTGAAAGGCAATAGCTTAATTTACTCTATCTGCAATTATCGACACACCAGAGACATCGTCCACATCTGCCGCTCTCTTCTGTGCAGTTTCTGTATGTGAGCTAGACATTCAGTTTGGGAATCCTATGACTCGAATAATAACTTTCTCTCCAAACCATAATTCAGCAACAATAAAATTATTTAGTGTCTGTCTGTAGAGAGCCTGCGCTGCCTCATTTCCCCCAAATGTGACAGGCTGTCATGCTGCAAACGCTGCACGCATTTGCATTTCAATAACTCAAGTTTTAATTTTTTTTGTTCCGTCATAAGTTTGGTTTGCTCACAAGCTATCCAATCATGCAGTGCAGAGTGATCGATGACCTCTAAATGAAACTCAACAGATGAGACTCAGCTGCTCAGATAAGGCAGCGTAGAGAACTTCAGTTCAGTAGAACATGGTCAAACAAAAACAATTAGTCCCTCTCACACAATCAAACACA